CAGAACAGTTGAGTCTGGACATCATGGTTACTGGTGCCATTTCAAACACTACACAAATTTTGCCACAGGGTACATTTAGCATATTTGAGTGTATACTAAGGAAAGGCTGTAGCTCAGCATTAGAGCACATGTTTTTCATATTGAAAAACATAGGTTGGTAGGCTGAAAAGAAATGTTGTCTGAAATTGTGGAAAGCCGCTTCCAGTCATTGTTGAGAATGCTAGGCTGGATAGATCTATGATCTAGTGTAAGATGCCTTCCTGCATATGATATTGATCTTTGGAGGTATGTACTTACCACATTGACAATTTACATTTTCAGGTGTACATTTAAATCTGTTAATGCATGATAAAAATACTTCATCTTCCCAACGAAAATTTTGTACATTTGCTGAAGTAAGTAGAAAATTGGGTATTGTGAAAAGGTATCTAGTCACAAATTACCCATTTGAAAGTTCCAGGATTCTTTCCTAACTTTAATAAGAAAGATGCTAGTGATTGAATGTGCAACCTTCTTCATAGAGTATGTGCATTACCACTGACTTTGAGTCCTTCCCTGGAAAAGAGAAAGAGAAAAAAGACAACTTCACATGAAAAGTATTACAGGCAGTGCCAGAGTAATGAATAGTACTTCATTATTTGAAGAATGCAGTGAACATCGCACCTTATCCCTTTTGTCAGCTAAAGTCAACAGTGCACTATAGTATGTGCTAATTGGTTAGAGAAAGGAGGAAGAAAAGGTTGTGTAGGAGAGAAAGCCGTGTGAGTTGTTTAACATAAGGATGCTAATAGTATATTATTTCCTGGAATTAATATCAAGCAGAGGTTAGAAAACTTACTTTTCCAGGACCTGCATTTCCTGGGTTGTTCAAAATTTTGCTTTGCAAGTCTGACATTTTTGTAGTGTGTGTGTGATATATATAAAATTCTTAAGAGTTAGCGCTTGCTATTACCATGGATTGTAGTAGCAAAGCTTTATTGTCTTCCACCCCACCCCCAAAATAGATTTAGATTTTTATTTGTGTCTATGGCCTTCAGTATTTCATCTTTGTTTTTTGTTTTTACCTAAGAGTAACATTTCAAGGTGGTCAAGGATACTGCATTTGGTTGGGTGCCTTCCTGCCTTCCTCCTCTTTTATTCTGCATGTCTCTTCATAACTCTGCATTTACCTGTCTATTGACTCTTCCCTGATCTTAAAAAAAATTATTTTGAAGGAATTACCATGTGGCATCCTCCTCTGGAGTTTAACTGAAAGGTGAGAAGCGGGACAGGAGGATGATTGCACAATGAAAGACAAGACAATGCACATACATTGCTCAGATACCTGTAAACAAAAGAAATAAACAAAAGAATCAAGAGCATCACTTATGAGAATTTCTCTGAAATTCATCCTCCATTTAAATTCTTCCAGGAGGATGCTCTTCACTAACAAATTGAAGAGCTATAAGTATTGTTAAGAGTTTTCATGGGGAAATTCTTCAGTACAGTACTAAACTGTTTTAATAAAGTGTCTCTATTGTGAAATTCTCTAAATGAAGATTGTGCAGCCTGTCCAGGCAATTTATTCCTTTACTCACCTGGCTGTTATCTTTTCTAGTTTGGAGGTTTTCACTAAGTTAATTCTAAATCTGAATCATCCTTCTTGAATTGTGGTATTCAGCATTCATAAAGCATATTTGGACATTCTGAATGTTTATTCCTACATGTTCTCTTAATTTTTATGAGAACCTTGTGAGATAGATCAATGTTAAAGCAAGATTAGCCACTGAGGTAGAACGAAAACAGCTTGCCTCAGTTGCTTAAAGCTGAGGTGGGATTTCATGAACTGTCTACTGGTTTTCAGTTAGAAAACAGCATAGTTCTCCTTTCATCTTTGTTTTTCTCAGTTGGCATAACTACTTCCTTCCTGCACGTGTAGGTGATAGTACTTTTTATTGGACCACTAAAAATAAATAGCAAACTTTTATTTTATGGTTTTTGCTCTTCTTGTTTGTTTGTTTGCTTGCTTTTTAATTTTATTTTTAGTGGCCAATAAAAGGTATCACCTACACTTTTGTTTGTAGAATCTTAAGGACCGCACCGGTCCTTTCTTTTCTTTTTCTTTTTGTTTTGAACTACTTGCATGTGACCTTTCTCCTACCCATTCTCATGCTCACATTTTCCCTCTGAATTTAACTTCGCTCTTTTCTTCCTCACTGCTGTGGGCAGTTGGCTCACTGTGGAGTTTGGATGGGGCTGTTGCCCAACCCCCTTTGCCTGTGTTCCTGTAGGTGGGAGTGGCAGCAGGTTAGAGGCAATGCCTGGGCCTGTTGGGAAGGGCTGAAATGTTGCCCTGCTGGCTTGGTTGCTTTGGCAGCAGCGTTAGCTCCTTGGCAGCAGAAACGTGTTTCAAATCCCAGAGGGCACTGAAGTGTAATCTTTTCTAAAGCAGCCTCCATGGGGCATGTGTGTATGTGTACACCTGGCCACGTACACATATCCACACGCCCACCAACAAATACCCCTCAAGGACTGAATAAATTAACCTTATCCATAGGTAACCTCAAATGAGGACAGCTGTGAAGGAAATCAAATCCTGGCATGCAGTTCTCCAGTCAAGCAAGTAACAATCACTAGCAGACTTTTGGTTGCCCAGTTTATTTAGGTACCTGTTTTTTTAATATACAATCTGGAGAAAACGTGACAGTTCAGTTTTGTTTGGTAACAGTCTATAATAATGGGAGGAATTCTATGTAGTTATAGTACTGAGAGGCTCTTTAGTTCACTATAGTCATATGCAGTTATGCAGACAGTTGTTACAGTGAAGAGAGCCTCAGTTTGTAAGCAGCCAGCCTGATCCAAGACCAGTTCCATACAGAAATTTCCTGAAATACCAAGGAAAATACTTCCATCTTTGCTCTAAGACAGCTTTTAACCATTGGTCAAACCTAAGAATAGTGCAGCATGCAAGCAGGGAAAGAAAAGAAGAAATGTTCCTTTCTTGTTACTATTGATTGGGTGTGTTTAAAGCACAGAGATTCACAGAAGCTATAGAGAAGAAGGAAGTCAGTAAACAAGGACAGTATTTTTGTATATGTGTATTTCATAATCAACACCTTGTCGAAGCCTGTGGGATTGCAGTGAAAGGTGACTCGTGATTCTGGTTGTAAAAGTGAGAGGCTTGCAGGTAGATCTGTTGAAGTGTGGTAGTGTTGGTGGGGAATATGGAGGAGAGGGCCTCCTATTTTGCTTGCCAGTGGTAATTAGAAATATATTATGATTGCCAGCTTCTGAACTATGAGTATGTTCTGTCACAGGAATTAACGACTTTAAAAGTCCCCGATAGCACTTAGAAACATCAAGTGCCTCTTTAAAATGCCATTAGGCGGGTGGTCATTACTGCAAAGGCTGAAGGAATGTCTAAATTGTATTCAGTTTGCTCTCAAATTCTTCTAAGTCACTTGAGGCTACATAGTAACTTCAAGTTTTGAGTCTGGTTTACACTAAGGATTTCCTAGGCCACGGCTTGTGCTGTTAGCCACCATGCTAATCCAGGGGCATGTGCCTTTTCAGGAGATCAATGGGAGTGCTCAGGCTATCTCTGCAGAGGGCTCCGTCCTGTGTAAGTGGAACAACTGCTATTGCTGCACATGTTGCAAGCTGTGGCATCATTTTTAAAAGTCTGCATTGGTGCCATTTTTAAAGCATGCAAGGGGTTCTGTCACTACTGTAGTTGGGCAGCGCAGGGAAGCTTCCTGTCACTACTGACAAAGCTGGGATCGGAGCTCAACATGCAGCAAAAACAGAGCCACTGGACCTGCCCTTTAGGCAAAAACATTGTCGCTTTGCAGACAATGTTATTTTTGCTAATGGTAGGGGCAGGTCCAGTGAATTCTTTTTCCCTACATGACACGTAGATGAGACTGCCCTGGCCCCAGCACTGTCGATAGTGGCAGGAAGTATCCCAGCATTGACTGGCCAGCAGACCATCAATTGCTCCACATCCCACTTTAATGCGTGGAATCGCATTAAAACAGGATTTATGAAACTGGTGGTTTCACACCTTTTTTCAGATGTTCCTCAGTAGAAAGCTTACTACACGTTTTATGAGATATGTACTTCTTTCCTGTGATTCTGTTTTATAATTATGGTACCAGAGGCATGAAGTATAAATTATAGCTAGAAAGCTAAGGTGGATGGTCCAGTAGTCCATCCTGTGATCCACCAGGCGTTGCAGAGCTACATAATCACTGTCCACTGGGTGAGATTGATAATAACTGAGTCGAACAACAGTTGGAGAGCTGAGGACTCTTCTACCCTGGCAATAGATTCATATTATTGCTCCATAGTCTCCATGTAAGGCAGTTGAGCAACTGGTCACAAAATCAAGCTAGCAGTTCAGTTGAGAGGGTCCATTTCCTCTTTCATGTTGTCAGGAGAGTTCTAGAACTAAAAGTAGCTTCAGCTGTGTTTGTTACTTAATCTTGCATGGGACTTTTGTGCCTCAAAGAATTGCACAGAAGCATGCATATGGGAAGGTGGAGCTGCTTTCAGCAGAACAGTTATAGAGGACATTTTCTTAAATGATTGGCAGATTTGCAACCGTTAATGATACAGAATTTAGTGTGGTAAAATACTCGGAACCTTAGTGTTTTGGACAGGATTTGTTGCACTGGCCATCTTTTCTTGTCTCTGTTTTTCATTCTTGTCTCTTAGAATGTAAATGTCTGCACCACAGATACAAGCTGTTTTAACTTTCATAGCTAATATGAGAATTGTAGTTTCATAAAGATGCTGCAGATTTTTCTGGCAGGTGTGTAGCACCCCTTACATCATAATCTACACTCTGCGAATTTCCTTTGGAAGAGAATTAGTCAACCTGAGATTTTAGCGTGGTGTTGCCTCTTGTACTTCGCCCTTTTGTGGGAGCAGAGTGAGTTCAGCCAGGCTGCTGCCAATGACCTGCTTTTTGAACACACCATGAATTTCCTAGAATGCCTTTTTTTGTTCTTTCTTGTCAGCGTCCTGGGATGCTGCCTGGTGGCCGGATGACCATGGGCGTATTACAAATGGGATCCCCCTCAGGGCCCCTGTATGGAACAACTTCTCCACTGAGACCTGGAATATCACAGTCCATGATGGATCCATTCCGAAAGCGCCTACTTGCTCCACAGACTCAGCCACCTGCCGCATTAATCCAAAGGCGAGGGTAAGAACAGCAGGGGTGGGTGTCCGCGTATCAGAAGTTATTTAACCAGCAAAGACTTGCAAAAAGCTGTTGAAATAAAAGAGAGAGAAACATAGGGAAGAGACTTGTATTTAAAGATAATTAAAGCTTTATTCTCTTAATCAACACTGGCAACACTTTCAGTCAAAACTGAAAAAAATAGTTCTTCAGTGGTTTGTTGCAACATTAATGTTTTCTTAATACAAACAGCAAGAACAGCATTCTGGGAATATGAAGTGATCTCACATGCAACGCAAAAGCCACACTTTTCATCTCTAATTTGAACATTTTTAACAGCCCTTCTTGCATGTAGCAGGATGATGTGCAAGTATGATTACAGTAATACAATACAGTAGAGCACAAAGACCATACCATCCTAATTAAGAACAGAAAACATTTGATTTGCTAATGCTATGTATTTTCTTACATAAAAAGCTGTGAATGTAAGCTGTAACCTTAAACCATTCCTCCATAAAAGATGTCACACATTAATACCATTATGGTTCAGGAGAACCTTAATGTTAAACAGTTAGCAAGTGAACGTCACCTGTTTCATGTTGAAAAAAGTTGATGATTTCTCAGGTTATAATGTCAATTTTAAATATCTTGAATAAATAAATATATTTCTGGAATCCCGTGTCTTTGTCATGAACCCTTGTTCTCAACATGCTGTATCTTCAAACTGCAGGTGGAAATTTTAGGACTAGGATCCCTCCTGATATACTAGTTTTCTGAGTACAGGGTTTTCTGAGTAGATGGGCAAGCCTTCTGTCACTTGAACCTCCACATGCAGTTTGAAGTGCTACAACCAACACAGATTTGCCAGTGTTACAATGGACTTTGCTAATCACGCTCTTCCTGTCCATAATAGAAGTGTTAGCAAAGGTATACCCACAAGATCTATGACTACCATGTCACAGATATCTTCAAACCCCTGTGTGCCAGTTGCTTTATCCCCTAGCTCTCTGCATTCCCTCTTGGGAGCTTTGCATGGTTGCTGGTTCCCAGCACTATATGGAGGGACATAATGAAACTATGTTGACATGGCAAGCCAAGGGACCTGGGATCCACCCAATATTTAATTTTTAGTACCTGTGACCAAGGGCACTTATCAGGCTTTCTCAAGTCTTAGAGTACCAAAGGTCGTGTTACTCTCAGTAGCCCTATAATAGCCCCTGTCCCTCAGGCCTTAGCAGGACACTGAGCTGAACATTCCATTTCTGCCTTTAGATTCCAACATCACTGGGAATTGAGGCAAGTCCATGGTCCCCAACCTTGGGCCTCCAGATGTTCTTGGACTTCAGCTCCCAGCCGCCTTTAGATTCCAGCATCACTGGGAACGGGCAAGTCCATCCACCCACTAAGAAGAGAGCAATTTTTGCACACTTTACGAACTCAGCAGGAGTGTAGAGATTGTAAATTTAAGAAAACTGAAAAACCTTGTTCTTCTCAAAACAGCCAAATTTGAAGTGAGCATGTTTCATGATTTTTGGGAACCATGAAAAATTGAGTATCAGTTTGAAAAAGAAAATGGCAAAACCAGAGGGGTGGGAGTCCCTTGGTTCCAGCTGTTATCAGCTGAACCCAGCATAAACATTTAATTAGAATAGTGGGGGTCACAGTCCAATGATGTCTGGAGGGATACAAGTGCTGTGACCTGAGTTAGAGTAACATGGAGGAAGACACAACTGGGTACTTTTCCGTGCTTATCTCTAGGTCTTCATCCAGTTTTCAAAAGCGACCTGTTTCCCAACAAGAGCATCAGAAGAATATGTACCATTTGTTTGTCACTTTTCAAGTACTGTATACAAATTGGTCCACACAATTTAATCCTCAAGCCAGGCCTATTAGGTAGTCCAGTATTACCTTTCCATTGCAGAATGGAAGTCAAAAGAAAACTAGTTCGCTTGAGGCCATTAGTCTCCCACTGGGTCCAACTTATGTTGCTCTTACTGGAGCCTTGTCAAGCGATGAAGGATAAGCGGCAGCCTCTTGTCCCCTACAATCATTTGGTTATTAGTTGTTGCTCCCCCTTAGCTTGGACTCCTTTTATGTAAGTGACTTGCTGAATTTGCTTTTTATCTCTTCTCATCTGATGGATACTTCTGGCCCTTCACAGGCCCTGCTTGGCCCGGTTTTACCAGCTGGCTGGTTTTTTTTTTTAAAAAATGAGTGCGATGCAAATAACATTCAGTTTCTTGGCAAGTTCTACTCAACCAAGTCAATCCAAAGAGGGCATTGCAAAGAGAAACAAACAGCTGCACACATCTGGCATCCAGACTTCAAGGGCTGGATTTTACATGATCAGAGGAGCAGGAGGGAGGGAGGCAGTAGAAAAAGGAAAAGTCTCTTGGACTGCCATTCCAGCTGCCAGATTTCATTCCCTTGGTTACTATGAGTGCTGTGTCTGTACTCCTGTTCCTTTTGCAGTGGGCTGAAGGTGGAGTTGTTCAGTGTTCTCTGATGCTCCAGGCAAAATTTCAGTTCCTGCTGTATGAGTCTGAAACATGCTGTCTCTTGCCTCTTTTTCTTTTCACTCATTCTTCTGTTTCACATTATAAATCAAGATGGATTAAATATAAGCCACAAAACTATAGGAATGTGTTTTAATTAGATTGAAATATAAATATTTAATAGTTTCATTCATTTATTTGGGTCATAAAGCACTAATCAGTTTCCTTTTTACACTATTGTCTTCAACGGCAGTTCTTTCCCTCATTAAATAAATGGGCATATTAATCTATATTTAAGAGACTTGTCCATGGAACCTCTTCTAGACATAGCATTTGACTGATACCCAAGTACTGTAAATAAAAAACCTGAGACAGTTAGATGGTATCATCTGCTTATCTTAAAGTATTGATGTTTCTTCCACCAATTTTTGCTCCTTCATCCAAATCTATTCTGTCTTTCCGCATGATATCTTCCAAAAGGATTGTAGCCTAAGCATCCTGTTTCTCATGACACATCTGGTCCTTCACCTTAGAAGTGGAAAGAACTTCCTAAATTCTTAAGATGGGTTTTGGGAAGGGTTGGGGTATTTATCGCTTGTTCAGCTCCTTACCTGAATCCTGCCTTAGCCCTGTCCTCCAATTTGTTTAGTGTTCTATATTGTGTGTCTATGCCCTGAAACTTTGCTAGTAGTTAATTGTGGGCTAACCTGTCAGCTGTAATGAATGGATCTTCTTGTTTATTTGAAGATGTCAGACCAAGCTGAGGTTAGAGCACAGATGGGGGTGTTATTATGTGTACATATTAGTTCATCGTTTCCTCCTACACCATTGATCTGACCAAATTTCTATGCAATCTAAAGCTTTTACACTGAGAGAGAAAGTGCTATTGGCCTTAATAGAGGTTTACTTTGTGAGGGATTAAATCATACTTGTTTATAATCCTGATGCAGATTGTGAGGGAAGGCTCCAGTATCTTGTGAGCAGGAGGCCTCATTTAAAGATGGGTGGCCCACCTTATACAAGTAAGATGGATATAACATACAGTACAGTATGGCCTTTTTTACAAAATAGAGCTTCACACATATTGGTTTATTCAGAATGGAGCAGTAGGTCTCCCACGTGTTATTTATGCACCCTGGAATACAGTAATGCCTATGATTTCTTGTGTTGGTAGAAAAATAGTCTGATATAAATAGGTTTACAGATCATACAAACTGAACTTCCCTTGCCCCACAAAATAAAAATGACAAAAACTGCAGTCAGCTTACTATGTAAAACCTGCTCAATAAATGATTCACATTGCCTCTATGGTATTTGAACGAAAGGTTTGGCATAATATCTCTTTGGAATCCTATTTCAAAAATTGTAGTTCATGATATGAATTTATAAAGTGCATCATATACAGATGCAGTAATAACCAGATGTTTCACTGAGAAGTTCCTCTACAGCTGGGAACGTTTTAAATGAGCAAACTTTCCAAGTGTTTTAATGGACAAAAAGCATTCAGTTAATCAGATGAGCCAGTCACACAAATTTTCAAACTGTTTGCTTTTTCAAATACTACTATTGTCATACTCCATATCTACGTCCTGAAAAATAGTCATAGCTCAGACAGCTTATAGAACCTCCCTATTTCCCAGTCATATTAAAAAGTAGGTAAGACTTTTTGTAATTCTGTTGGGGGTTTTTTGTATTGTGGATTACAAGACATGGTTTAAGGGAATAAGAGAACTGTGTGATCCTTGAGCTCACCCAACTGAATGCAGGAGTTCCTCATCTTAGCTCATTTCTATTTAAACAAAGGCCCTTTATATGTGCCTATTCCTTGTTCCTCTTTCTCCCTCAACATCTTTTCTTACCGAGATACACAAAGTAAAAGGGATAATCCACTCTAACCTGAAATATTCATCCCAAAGTTTCAGGGCTAAATGCTCATTAGGTACTTTTACTATTAGAACCGATATTCAGGTGAGAACCATGTCTGACTTATTAAAAAATCTTTTTATGACAGTTTCTTTGCTTTGAAGATCACCACTGAATCTAGCTCCTTTTGGAAGTAGAGAAAGCATTTTGCAGCCACGAGTGTCATCATTTTCTGTGATACCAAAGTAGAATGTTATGTAATTTGTTCCAAATGTAGATTTCAGGTTTTACAGTTAAATGCATGGGTATGAATCTGGCACAAGGATTCTAGACTGTCTTCCACTAACACTGTATATTTCTTGCAGGCTTAGGAGGAGGAAGATGGCAGACAAGATCCTACCACAGCGGGTAAGCGCTCCATTGGGAAGAGTTCTTAGGGTTAAAATAAAGGAGGTAGGGCATTGAGTGTGTTTGGTGAATGCAGAAAGAAATGGATTGCAGGGCTTTAGTCTGTTGTCTATCCCAACTCCTTACAGATCAGTCAGAGTCAGTGGAGAGAAACATGATGCTCTGTGTGTGCAATGGGAGGAAAATGAGTCCAGTGGTTCAGAGGAATTTGGGAAGATTGGGGGTTTCCCCTTTTTTAGCTAGTCCATTTCCATTTGGAATTGTTTTAACATTGAGTTGCAATTTAGCTCTCCCAGAGTTTGTCACCTATTCTGATAGACTACGGAGTACTCCAAAGTATTAATCAATTTTCAGACTAATTCATGCTTCTATTATTCATTTTCCCCTCCCCTCCTCCAAAATGACCTGCAAGAGAATGATAGTATTTAAGAGGCTGAAACACATGTATGATCAATTAAGGCGAGCATTTACCAATGATAGACAAAGCAAAGGGAGCTGGAAAGAGTGGGGCTCATAGTACAAATTAGTGGAGAACTCTTCCCATTGAAATTCTCCTCATGGATAATTATTTAGAGCCTTGTTTGATAAAAATGGCTCTCTGATTGACTATCATTGTCTTCACAGATTCGTGAACTGGTTCCAGAATCTCAGGCTTACATGGATTTATTGGCCTTTGAACGCAAGCTAGACCAGACCATTGCCCGCAAGAGGATGGAGATCCAGGAGGCAATAAAAAAACCTTTGACGGTATGAAGGGAGAGAGGACCAGCCAATCTTTTCATGGAAGGAGACAGATTTGGTCAGCAAACTCCTTTCAGGATGTTTTCTGATAGACTGAGGTCTCTCTTATAGATTCAGCATGTCCTGCTAGCTTGGAAGGATTTATTATCTGGGAATAGACTAGTAGAGCCACTTCATAACAACCTGCTTTTTGCTGGACAGTGGAAACAGAGATGGTGTGTAAGAATGCCTTTTCCTGAGTCAGACCATTGGTCCATCTAGTCAGCAGTGTCTGGCAACAGCTTTCTGGGGCTTCAGGCAGGATTTTTTCCAGTCTTACCAGAAAATGTCAGGAATTTAACCTGCATTATGGAGTTGGTCTGTGGAGGCAATGAATGGAGTTGATTACATTGCTGTCCTCAGTGGATATTTTTCTCCCAATCTTCAGCAAAAGCGAAAGCTGCGTATTTACATCTCCAACACCTTTACACCTGGCAAGGAGGAATCTGAAGGAAGTGAGCGCATAGCCTCGTGGGAGCTTCGTGTGGAGGGAAAACTCTTGGATGATGTAAGACTGAAACATCCTTGCTTTTAGGTTGCTTTGTGGCAGCTGAAACATTCTTACTGTGGTTCTCCTGATGGATGGTTTAGGGCACCTTTCTCCAACCACCAAATTTCACCAGGCACCAAGTCAGCCCTCCTCCCTTAGTTCTTCACTTGTTCTTTTAAAGTGTATATGTATCAGAATATACTGTACCCATTTTGTGTGTTTGGCTGGCCTTCAACTTGAGCCAGGGGTATGTTCTTAAAAATAGAAAGAAGAGCATTGTTGGATCAGACCAAATGTCTGTAGTCTAGCATTCTGTTTCCATTATTCAAGAACTGAATAACCATGGGGAGACCCAGCAACTGGAAATGAGGACTGTGTCCTCTCCTGTTCTTTTGTCCCAGCAAGCAGAATTCTAAGTCATGCTGCCTCTGATGTTGAAGGACGAGTAAACACTGAAAGCTTAGTCCGAGTTGGTGACTTTTACCATATTTTCTGTTAATATGCTCTTTTTGAAGAAATGCTACTTTTTGTTTTGGCTATAGCAGTATTCAGCTTCATTGGATGATCTAAAGTTCTAGCATTAATGAAAAAAGAAGAAAAAATTCTCCCCAATTGTTTCCCCATAACTTGCACAATTTTAGAAATGATTAAGAAGCCTTCTTTTGTTCACTTTTTTACCTAAACTAAAAAGATCCAAATATTGCAAATTTTCTTTATAGGGAATTTGCTCTCTGCCCTGTGACTTCACATGAACAGTTTTGATAAATTTCTAGTTCTACCATATCCTTTGTTCAAAAATCACTACTAGAATTAGGCATAATATCTCTTATGTGATCATACCATGCATTCATATAAAGATGTTGCAGTATTGGCTGTTCCATTTTTATTTTCTTTGTGTTGATTCCTAAAACTCCATTTCCATTTTCTCAAGGCTGATGTTTTTATGTCCCAAAAATCTTTTTTCTTGGTCAGTCCAGTGAGTGGATATGTGAATTGGGGAGGTGGGAGTTGTTTTTTGCTCTAATGTGCCTCACATTGAATTGGATTTGGCATGTCATATATCGTGAATTTTATACTCCCAGTTCTTTTAAATTTTCTTCCATAGAAAGTCCTAGCTCTCCTTCAGGTAGAGGTGAATAAAATTTGGCCACCAGATGTATTAGATAACAACATTGGATGATCTTCCATAGAAAGTCTCCCAGCTCTTCTTTAGGTAGAGGTGAATAATATTTGGCCACCAGATGTATTAGATAACAACTCCCTTAATACCTTCCCATTGGCCATACGGACTAAAGTTCTTGAGAGCTGAAGTGGAAAGAATGTGAAGGGTGAAAGGTCCCCACCCCTTGCTTAAGACAAATGCTGGGGGACATGCTGTATGAAGAGCAAAGGTGATGATAGTAGTGCTAGTAGCATATCTTCTTTTGTACAAAGGAGGTTACTTCCTTCATTTCTAGAGGTAGCGCCACTGGCTTACCCCTGAATATTAGAGATGCACTTAGCTACAGTACTTTCTGGGTGCTTGTGGGAAAGGGAGGGCTTAGTGCCTCATCAGTCTTTCTGTCTTAGCCAAGCAAGCAGAAGAGGAAGTTCTCGTCCTTTTTCAAGAGTTTGGTCATTGAGCTGGACAAGGAACTGTATGGGCCTGACAACCACCTGGTAGAGGTAAGTACTTTCTTGCACACTCGTGCTGAGGAAAATGCGAAGCACCTTAGAACAATCTGACATTTCACATCAATGCTCAGGATGACAGAGGCCCATTTTTCTTTTCAAAATTGCCCTATAGGATGAGGTATAATGGTGGTGCTAAAGTAGATGATTAGGGCTGAGAACACTGTTCCCGCAGAAGGAGTGATTGGCAGGTTCTGGGGCTACCTGTTAGTAGATAATTTTGGTGGGAGCTGAAGGAGATGGATTCATGATCGTGAGGGGAAAAAATGACTCCAGAAAATGGAGGCAAAGTTACCTGCATTGGTTTGAAAGGAATGATACTTCATGGCACATTCAGCCTGATATAGATAATAGCTAGATCAGATCATGGAGGAATCATACAGAGCTACAAGAATATTCAGGCTTCTGCCCTGGTGTTGAACAGCACCTTTTACCCAACTGCAGTTATAGAAGCTGTAAAGTCAGACTGTGGTTAGTAGGAGCGTGTGCCAGTATTGTTAGGTAACACTTTAACTATGTCATCACCACCACTTCACACAATGTAGATTAGGGGGACAACTTTGATGAGGATGGGGGCCAAATTTTAAACCCCTACACCTCTCCAAGGGCTTTGCAAGGTGCAAAATGGCCCTCAAAGACAACAAAATAGAAAGTGATCGAATGTTCACTACTTTTTTAAAAGTTTCTTCAGTCTTCCTTTTGTTTTCCTGTGTTAGGGGCATCCTGTGATGCACAAACACATGGGTGCAAAAATCTCTGCTTCTGGATAACTCTAGAATCAGAATGAGCAAAATTTTATCCATTCCATTCTTTTTGTACTTGTTGGTTTTTTCAACTACTGGAGTCATGGACAACCTGTGGGGCCTCAGAAATGTTCTTGCAGGTCCTTTTGCAGCCTATTAGCCACATTTTCACCACCTCAGTGAAGATACATTATGGAGCTTTCTTTCTTTCTTTCTTTCTTTCTTTCTTTCTTTCTTTCTTTCTTTCTTTCTTTCTTTCTTTCTTTCTTTCTTTCTTTCTTTCTTCCTTCCTTCCTTCCTTCCTTCCTTCCTT